GGATTAAAAAAAACTACCTAGGTCCTATTCTTTATTCTACTTCACTCACATATTAGGTAATTTAAATTTAAAATCTCTTTTTTTTTTTAATAGAAAGAGATTATCAATGAATTATTTAAGTTATTGACAATTAATTTACTTTTCGATTCAACACAGCAGATAATATTTACCAATTCAATTATTAAATTTTTGTAACTTTTAATTATCATGTTTTTAATTTAAATATATAAATAATAATTTTTTAATAATTATATTGCGAAATAAATTGAATCATAAGCATACCAACTATTGTCCTAGGATAATGCATGAGTTTGTTGGAAAAATAAAGAAAATCTGTTCCCTGAAAACAGGCTTTGTGTTTTGGCAACAATCGATTGCAGAAAGTCTACTCTCTTATCACTGAAGTATGGTACACCGTCGTAGTCTGAAGCCGAATCCTCCTCCTCCACCTATAACCTTACCTCCGATAGGAAAGGTTATCTAATAATATTCCCTCCCATTTGATTTAGTTGTTCAACTGTTTTATTAAAAGAGAATGATATGATTTAATTGTCTAACTATTTAAATTTCTCATGAAATTAAAATGAAAATTTGAGGGAATCAGCCAGGGGATTTGGGTTTCTAGATATGGATCCCTAGTTTTTTTATTTACCCATGTAAATTTCTCATGAAATCGAAATGAAATTTGAGGATTCTTGGCTTGAGTTTGCTGTGTGATTGTTTTCGATACTTGGGGCTCAATCTGATCATATTGTTCATTTGAAATTTCTCTCTTATTTCTTGTGGTATTCTCTGAAAATCTTAATGTCCCTGGTATTGCTTGTGGTATTCTAGAAATCATACTGTTTCTGGTGGATGTTGATTAAAAGCTATGAATTTATCACGTCGATGGATCAACTCAATAGAGTTTTCGTTTTCTCAACTTTCGATTTTGCGTTTTTTTTTTTTTTTTTTTTTTTGGAAAGGCAAAAATAAAGTGTTATTAATGGAGTGTAAGGGGTTGAGGGGTACTCAACCCATATCCAGAAAAGTTACAGAGGAAATCCCAAAATAACCATAGTTAAGTCAGCCAACAATTTTACATTGCCTAGGACTGAATAACCAATCCAAGAAGCAGAAAAGTGGATCCTTTCCTCTATATTTTAGCCATAGAAAAGTTCTTACTTGAATAAGATTGAACATTCTATTTGTGTCTAATTCTTAGCTATTGAGTAGCACCCTGTTTCTGGTGAGACAAATCGTCCACATTAACGCGAACCAAACTTTCGATTTTGCTTTGTCTGGGTTTTCCAAGAATATTTGGATGTTAAGGGGTTTGGTTTGATTTTTTGCGACTCCTGGTTGTTTAGATTTCGTGTTTTATGCAAATATGAATTTGATTATCGATTTGTGGTTTATTTGTATTGTCAAAGTTGGAATCTCCTTGAGTTTAACTTGCTTGCGGATTTGACTTTCGTGAAAGGGTCGTTTTTTTTTTTTTAGTAAATGAATGAAGATATTTTATTTTAATTCAGGCTTTGGCTTCTTTTCTATCCCTGTAATTGTAGTCTTTTGTTAGTATTGAACTTCAAAGGATAGGTTGTTTTTGGGTCAAGTCGGTCCTTGCTAAGTCATTTTCATATTTCTTAGATTTTGAGGTTCTCTTGGTTAAAGAATCTTGTGAACTAGCAGCTCTTGTTTCTCCCTCTGTAATCCCTGTGGGAAAGTGTCTCTTGAGTTAAAGCAATCCGTCCATTATTTATACTTGGTTGCCCTTGTGTTTGTTCTGTCAACATGCTTTCCTTGAGACCTATGATTTGAACTTGTTTGATGGATTAAAATTTGAGTATA